GGTACTTAGACTTTTCGCTTGTTATTGGGATTTTGATGGTTATACATTGAAAATAAATATATTAAGTTTCCAAAATAAAAACAAGAAAAAAATAATAGAAGTGCCAAGGACGTCTATCTATAGATTCGAAACAAGATTTGATGTATAATCGAGTGGTAAAGTATCAAGTAAAAGTTAATAAAAATATGGCAAACGACAAGACTTTCGACTTCATCATCATCATCATCAGCCTATAGTGCCCACTGCTGAGCAAAGGCCTCTTCTCATACAGAGAAGGTTAGAGCATTGATCACCACGCTTGCTCACTGCGGGTTGGCGATTTTAAACTTATAATTAGAAATTATAAGTCCAGGTTTTCTCACGATGTTTACCTTCACCGTATGTCAGTGGTGTCTAAATAATCATATAACTCGAAAAAAGTCACATCGGTACTTGCCAGGTTCCGAATCCACACCCTCATGCATGAGAAGCGGGCTCCTTAACCTTCGGGCCACCACGACCCCACACATTCGACTTACAATACTACAAAAACAAATTGAATGTTTTCTGACCTATTTCTATTGAACATCACGACCATCATCATCATCAGCCTATGACATAAATGAAACATTCAGGTTTTTTCCTCTATGGCCTATAAGTAGTCTGCTGAACAAATGTGGCACGCTCGAGGTTAACTTCCTGGTATTAGCGTTAAGGAGTATAACTCAGTTGTGCATATAAAGTTATCGTACAGCCTACTTCGCAGCTATGTAGCATCCATGTGGCAGAATGGCACACACTTTGCGTGTAGCATGAGCATCACGCAGCTGGGTCGGTGCGTGGAGACACTGCGACGCTGGGCGCAGGCAGGCTGCTTCAGACAGGAAGCGAAGTGGTGGAAGTACACGCAGCGGCGCACGCAACGCGACGTCAGCTGAAACTGAAGTACAGCGTGCGCAGGCGCCGCGAGCCAGTCGAGTTCCTACCTCGCATCCAACATGGACGCACGCGTGAGTCTCTTTGTACCATCGTATTATTAGTGCATCGCTTACTGTTATAGTTTCCGATCTAGAAGTATGATGTCAGCTCTTCCACAACCGCCGTAGCGTTATAATTAATTATATCGCCTATTACAATTCTGTTGAATCAACATTGTGGACAGAGTTTTAAAGTAGAGTGATTCTGCGGGAGACACATAGCTGTAGTCCGGCACTCAAGGGGAATCTTCCTGGTGTAGTATAGCGCGTGATGTTGATGGAGCTTTAACTTTCAGACGCAACTGGTGGTGCTATGCGCATGCGCTGTGGCGCTGGGCGAGCCGCTCGGGCAGGCGCTGCATCGCCTCAGCCGGTACGGCATGTACGCGGACGAGTACGCGCGCGACTACGAGCCCTACTTGTTCGCGGCCGTGCCGCTGCACGCGCCCGTGCCCGTGCTGCGCGTGCTCAGCCCCGCGCCGCTGCAGGACCGCGAGCGCGCGGTCTCAGCGCCCTCGAGGCACCAGCCGGTGTACGCGCGTGCCCCCTACCACGATGCCTCGTACGAGGTCGAAGCCTACGAGCCGCCGCCGTACGACAGGTACGCGGGCGCGCCTAACCAGCTGAGCCAGTCGCCGCCGCTGTACGTGGCGACGGCGGCGGGCAGCGCGGCCGAGGAGACGACCGTGCTGTACGCGCGGCCCACGCCGCAGGGCGGCTACACGTACCACACGGCGCCCGCGCCGCACCGGTCCGGGCCCGCCAAGCGCGCGCCGGCGGCCGACTCTCCTTACATGATAAGAGTGCACAAGTACAGGGTCGTCAAAGACCGGTAGTCCTCCAACACATCTGGTTCAATAATCTACAAGTAGTACGTACCTATAATACAAGTGCCCATGTACACATTAGCGTAGTACTTACAATAATTAAAACGTTATTTATTTACGCACACCTTGCTACTCGTGCGTCTGCTCGTATGTACCGTAATTTTAAGCTACATTTAGTTTCGTTTGTAAAACTACTCTGTAGAATATAAGTAATATGCTAAGTCACAATTAGTACCTACGTAAGTCTCCATTGGGAAATTCCTCAGTTTCATAATATAACAATTAAGGTCTCTCGAATTTGTAAATCAATAAAATTAATTTATGTTATTATAGTATTTAATAATTAAATGTTACATTTTAGTTAGTTTTTTGTTTATTTTCGAATGTCCCAATAGTAAGTATCTATATGCCGTGTGTAAGTATGAACTTGGAGTTTTATATACCGAACGAGACACGTGCCGTATTGAGATATTGGTAGCTGTGGCGCAGACAGTAACTACAATCCTGGAGCTGTGCCGGGTGTGCAAAAGTGGAGTCACATTTATTTACACAGAACCCTTGGCATTGGTGCAAATACATATATTGTAATTTGTTCAACGCTGCATACGCATTTGAAAAATAAAAAGTGTACCGCACTTTTTTTTAGGAGTGTAAAAAAATAAGTCGCACGTATTGTCCGAGCCGGTGTGTCGATGTATGCAGGAAGTGGGTTCTACATGCGCTGCACCAGGCACGCAATGTACACTAATTAGCAAGAGTGCGCAGTATGCTCGCCTCCACTACTGACTCGCACCAACTTGGTTCTAGAAACTGCTCGTCCACGTCGCCGCCTGTTAATACTGAAATAACTTCGTATGCATTTTATAGCTACATGGTTCCGCTTCCGTCCTAGGCTTCGGCTTTCTACCCGCCTTGTCGGGCTGCTCTAAGATGTAAACATTTCACACAACTTGCCAACTGCATTAAATTGGAATTTATATTAACGATTACACGTAACCAGGAAACGACTCACCGACTCCAATTACAATTAAGTTGATACTTAATTACGGCTGCGGCTAATGACCGTTCTCAAATGTCAAAAATTCCTGGATCAATCTAAGATCTGGACATAAACACCAAACATCTAATGTTGATAATATAGGTAAAACATCGAATGTGAAATATCTTAATCCAAATCCAATTCACTTCGAAAATACTAGAGATCTCATGAGCTGCTCGTTTTCGATACCCGCCGGTTAAAGTGTTATTGTTTTTCCCGTTTGTCAGTACAAGTTGAGCAAAATATATTACCTAGGTACTCGTATCATAACATAAATTTAATGAAAAGAGAGAGTTAGCGCGTGTATAAATATTCAATCATTTGCACCTCCAGTAGCTAGTAGCAAGAGTAAAAAAATTAAAACTTTTTATGAATTAAAAGAAACCAGCAAGAGGTAGACATACTGAGAAGTCGTCTCTTCTTTCTGCAATGCAGTGATACTTGCAAAGTAACTAGGAAAAGCCGTAAGCAGACCGTCTGAGGGAACTATCCTCCTCTCGTCACAGCTACCGTAGTAACTGTAGTCGCACGACAACGATGAGCAAGGATAGCTCGACCAGAACCAGACCCGAGCGAACTGTGCGCAGCATTCTGCGAGCGCTCAAAGAGCCGTGCGACCACCACATGCCCAATAGGGCTGCTTACCGATCCGACGGGAAGAAACGCCCGAATGTCGTCATTGTGAGGACCACCCTGAAGATACGGTGGCGGTGGCGGTCCTGCTTGGGCTGAGCAATAATTGGGGCGGCGACCTATCGCGCCCTTAGTCGAGGCCGGAAGGAACTCGGAAGCCGTGTCCTCTTTCTGCAAAGCAGTGATGCTCGCAAAGGATTAGGCGGAGCGTGCGAGGGAACTATCCTTCTTACGCCCCAGCCGCCGCAGTAGGCGACATTCCGGGCGTCGGCGATCAAGAGATGATCTCCGGCCACCGTAAGCGCGGGTTTGCAGACGGCGAGTAAGGGTAGCTCGCCGCCCGACCAGAACCAGACTCGAGCGTATGGCGCGTAGCGTTCCGCGCGCGCTTCAAAGATAATAGACGCCAATAGATCACCGGCGGGGCAAGCGCAATATGCCACCGCGACCATGGCCTAAGCACGAGAAGGAGCGGGGGCGTTTTTAGTCAGTAAGAGTCTGACACTCTCTCTTCCGCCATACCATGGGCGGATGAAGTCATTTGATTATTTTCCCCTGACGAAAAAGGCTCAATAGGGCTGATATACAAATGGGCTGCGGCCTGAAGCAGGGGAAGGAACGGGATGGTTTTTGGTGGAATAAGAAACTGACCCACCACACAGTTAAAAATTGTAGGTACGTAAAAATATTGTTATTACTGCTTCATACGAATCATACGTCTATAAGACAAAAACAATAGGTATACTCGGAAATGCTCGGAATGTTAATTCCATTCCAGATTTGACAATTTCAATGTTGCAACGTTATGACACGTACTAAATAGTGACGTTGCGAAGTTATTCGATATGGAATTCGAATATTTTTGAATCGATTCCTCTCGTTTATAAATTCACTCGCTTATAAATATTTCTGAACCGAAAATTTAGTTTTGACAATTAATTAACGATCTGAAACTTTTCTTTTGTAATTTGTGAATCGCTATGGCTGTTACTTTCTGTAACATTTATTATGAATTGTGTCTGTGATATTTATTGTCAACTAGCGGCCCGCCCCCGCTTCGCACGGGTCCAACTATCTCGCTATCAAAGGGTCACTTTTTCCTAATCTTCCCCTATACTTTTGTAATATTTTCTTTGATAAGAACCTTCTCCTGACAATAACAAATACAACATAAAAAGAATTAGCAAAATTGGTCCACGCGTTGTTGAGTTATGCGCCTACCAACACATTTTGCGATCCATTTTTATATATAAGATTAACATATCTAGCTTACTAATTTTTTCCTCTTCTTTGGCAACATGCTTTGCAATTCATACGTATTTAGACCATTCGGTAGCCGTAATTTTTTGAATGCCTTCCTGAAACTGATTCACTGAGTGTTTATCGATTTTAGTGTTTATCACTATACTGCTATATGTGGCATTATTTCACAAAATAACAGTAGATCATGTCAAATCAGGAACCAATCTAAGTAAAATTCTGACTATAATTTATTATTCTATGTTGACTGACATAAATAACTGTCACTAACTGTCATGACATAAATGTCATGAATGTCAATGTCTAGCAAGACATCAAGACTATTCAAGACAAGAGCAGCCGGGTGCCTGAACCATACTTACTATTTGTAAATTTTAATGTTAACTTGTTACAAGTTACAACAAGTCAAGCTGATAAGAATTCTCAATTCAGTAACTTTTTTCTACTTCTTCGAATAAAAATAGACTTGGAAATCGAGTTTTGAGAGACTTATTATACCTATTTTATATGTACCTATACATAAAATGCCTAGAGTAAAAATTGATTATATCGTCAGTTTTAGTAGTGAAGATCCAGTGAGTATTCAATTTGTATTTTGTCAGACTTTTCTTTGATTAATTATTAATTTACGTAGTACCTAATTTCTTGGATTTAATTTATTATTGATTGCCGCCAGGAGCACCCTGCTAGCAACCTGCTGAACTTGGAAGTTAGCAAGAAGAAGTGGTTGTGTGCAAAAGGCCAGACTTCCTGTTCTGTAGTTCTGCAGCTACCAAGGGCTGTCAAGGTTGGTACTGGTTTTTAAGAAGTCACTCCTCACTTAAATGTAATAAAACTTGACCTAATGTCACAAGTTTATTTAGATAATTATGATGTGGCTATCATAAAGGTGTTATAATTATATTGTATATAGATACAGCTTTAAATATAGATAAAGGTAGCTCTTTTATAAACCTCTAATTTAACCTTTGTGGCATTGAGGTCCATGCCATTGTCGTCCATAGGACAAATCATGGATAGTAGAGTATATTAATAATAATATTTACACTTTATACTACTGTACTCTTTAAAAGTTACACTAAATCCCATTACCATGCATGATAAAACTTTGTAAAGAGTCCTGAATGCAAGCCAGAGTATGACATGCTCTGGAGCAAAAGAAGGCTATTTTAGTTGGAATGAGTTTTGGAGAGATGAGCAATAATGTTGTTTCCTTGAGTAGTGTAATTGGTTTTGTACCTTTGTATCATTTACGTAAGTACTAATATTATAAAGCTATAGAGTAGCTTTGTTATGAATGCGCTAATCTCCGGTACTACTTGTTTGAACAATTCATTCGTGTTTGTAAGTCCATTACAGAAGGCTATAGGGTATAGAAGGTCATGCTATGATCTGTAGGCTTTGAGCAACCTGTGTTGACCAACTTACTAACTATTGTGACATGCCTTACACCCGGTTTCTGAAAGGCTTGTCAACGCTAAAATTAAGTAATCTTTTGTTAAATCTCTTGTCAAGTCATCTGATTGGTTGTTGATAATTCAGTCAACCATTCAGATGACTTGACAAGAGATTAAATTGATTTTAACATTGATTGGCCTTTCGAAAACCAGGGGTAAGACTTTAAAGGGATTCAACTATCTTCATTTGGTTTTGCATGTACCTGCTGATAATTGTCACCATAATTAGAAAAATATATACATAATTTGGCACTCAGACGAATGTACTACAAAATTGTAGACATGATTGGGCAAGTAACTATAATGTGTTTTGTAAGAATGTTAATGTTTAAACATATTTCTCTTTTTATTTTGTAGATATCCAGTATCAACATAGGAGCCTACCATACAGCTTTGGTCGAAGTATTAGTAGGAAGATCAGAATCAACAAATGAGGAATATCAGGTGTGAACATTTATACATTGACATGGGCCCATTATTTACATGTTTATAAAGTACAAAGGCTCCTTAAGTATATGAAGATGTTGCATGTAGTAATGTTGAGTACCAGGTATTGGTGCCGAGCTGCGTGTTCCTGTCGCGCGAGGAGTCGCGGCGCGGCGCGGACCCGGCGCGCGTCCGCTCCTTCTGCGGCGCGCAGCTGGCGCAGGCCGCGCGGGACCTGCGCTGGGACCGCCTGCGGGTTGTTTGTTCCCAGCCACACAACAAACACTGCCAGGTACCCCCTTGGGGGTTATTATGTCAATTGTTGTAGAAATTCAGCTCTATTTGTGTAAAAAATTACTTTAAAATGTTGCACCTTTAGTTTGGCCTGTCTTTCGTGCACATAGACGAGGCTGAGAGCAGCGCACCTACCGGCCTGCCTCAACGGCTACTGGCACTTGACACGTTCTCTTCAGACGAAGATGATTTCAAGCCGGGTGAGCTGTTTGCTAAACACCTTCAGAAGACAAACACCGAGGACATCCCGCCGCCCGCTAATACTGGTGTGTACTCAGCTATATAACACACCACCACACATTACCTACTCTGTATTACAAAAATCCCTGCGCCCTGCTTTTTTTTGTGAGGGAAAAATCATCAAATGACTTCTCCCGCCCAGGGCCGGGCGGGAGGGAGTGTCAGACTCTTACTGACTAAAAACCCCCCTGTTCCTTCTCCTGCTCTGGGCCGAGGTCGCGTTGCCTCATTGCGCTTACCCCGCAACCCCGGCTGAACATCAGCCCTATAGGGCCCCGTCTGTGGTGGTCTATTGGCTCTTTGAGGCGCGCGCGGAACGCTACGCTCCATACGCTCGGGCCTGGTTCTGGTCGGGCGGCGAGCTACCCTTACTCGACGACCGCAGGCCCGTGCTTACGGTGGCCGGAGATCGTCCCTCGATCCGATAGTGTCGCCAGTTGCGGCTGCTGGGGCGTGAGGAGGAGGATTGCTTCGAGGATTGAGCCGCCTCCCTCTTTGCGCTCTTTGGCTTCCGTCATTCAAAATTGTTATGCAAAAAATAAACATTATTATCGTTATAAAAACATATCTTCATATATATATTTGGTATTTTCAACAGTTTCAGTGTTAGGTGTTTTGAATTCTCCATCCTCCGAACCTACAATTGCATGCAGTGCTAAAACTAAATGAGGATGAGTCTTATCTCGATTCCTATTTTCGTATTTTCAGGTGCTCAAATAAGGCAAGCGACATCACAAGCTCTCAAAAATATAGCTGACTCGTCAACGAAACTTATGAAGAATACAATTATCAAATCACGCGATAGTTGTAATGACAGAAAACCGATTATATCGCGGCGATCAGACGCTCAGGTCCACCAGCCTGAGGCCCGACAGGACGAGGGGGCTTCACCCCGACACACCTCACAGCGCAACATTGCTCGCCCAGAAACAAATGGCTCAGCGAAAAAACCAAACAGTGACCGCGCGAAGCCGTCAGAAGCCCAAAACATAAATTTAGAAAAAAAGAAACGCGAGCGTCCCGAGACCAAGGAGAGGACAGCCGTGCCAATAAGTCAGTCAGTCTCTTAGATGTTGTATATGTATAGAGTTTGCGAGAGGCCTTACAATGGATAAGTTATCGGTGTGTGCAGACTCGTTGCTGAGCGGCGCCACAATGGTGCTGAGCGGGTACGTGAACCCGCGCCGCGCCGCCGTACGCCGCGCCGCGCTGGCGCTGGGGGCCCGCGTGCTGCCTGACTGGGGGCCCGGCTGCACGCATCTCATGTCAGTATTGCGGCCTGCGCTGCATGCAAGCTGAGCGAGTGTCGGGCTGGCTGTACATTATCCGTTGATTGCAACAGCTGCGCCTTCACCAAGACGCCGAAGCTGCGCGCGGTCCGCGCGGCGCCGGGCGGCGCGGACGTCCCGGTGGCGCGCGCCGAGTGGCTGGACGAGTGCGTGGCGCGCGGCCGCGTGCTGCCGTGGCAGTGGTACGCCACGGAGCCCGAGCGCCTCCTGCCGTCCGCCCCGCTGTCCCCGCTGTCCCCGCTGCCCCCGCCGCGCCCCGACTCCGGTAACTCACTTCTACTTATACAGAAAAGCTTCAATAGCCTCCCATTCCGACACGCGTACCTCTAAAGCTTTGTAATATTTTCCCATAATATAGCATTTCCCATGCGGAGTGAACAACTCTAGCGGCAAACTAGAACCCATCACTTTCATTGCTTGTTATGCGGTATTTAAAATCCTTTATTTCTATTAGACCGCAACCGCGGAAAACATATCGGATCGTTTACTACCGGGCCGTTTCAAACCGGCTCTAGACAATTTGGCACTGCATAGATTCTGATATAGCCTCCTTGTCGAACGAATATCTAAAACTAACCCTTTATTTATTGCGTATTATTGATAAGCAGAAAAGTTTTCGAATGGAGGCCATCTACCGGCAGAGGCCGCTTAGGACTTCCTGATAAGGGGCGCGGGTAACAAGTTATTTCCTACTAGCCGATGTAGAAATTTGGGCTTATGTTCAGCAGTGGACGTTTTGTGGTTTATACTCGGATAATGATGACTACTTTCGATTATGGTTGGATTAGCAGGGCGCGATACAGACGATGAAATCGAAGAAGTACTACGAGATCAAAAGAAGCGGCGGACGGAGCCGAGCGCGAGCAACAAGGTGGAGCTGCGTGACGACAGTGACAGCGACGGACAGGCCACCGAGGACGAGGCCGGCCCCGCGCCCCCGGCCCCGCCCCCGCTCACTGGCGCGCTGCCCGCCTTCCTGGACGGCTGCACGTTCTCGCTGCGCGCCGCCAGCGCCGCGGCCGCGCCCGCCCTGGCGCGGTACGTGCGCGCCTATGGCGGCGAGCTCCTGGACCACACCGGGGGCGCTGCAGGGGGGGCGCACTACGAGCTGGGGGCGCGGGGCGCAGCCTGGCTGGCACGCTGTCACGCTGCGCAGGCGCTGCTGCCCTACCCATGACTTCATTATTTATTCTCTTAGTATAAATAAACACTTTTTATAATTCTGTTAGCCTATTATTGACGTTAAAGCTAAAGGTAGCAGAGGGAGGTAGGTACACACAAAATTAAATCTTGTGCGCCATAACCGTATTACCGCCGGTTGCGTACTTACTTCGGATACCTACAGTAATATATATACTAATACCTAGTAAGTAGTTAGGCTTCAGACGACTTTTATGAGGACAGAACAGCATTTAGTAAGGGTGGATGGGGCTGACGCAGTCAATTTTAAGACTTGCTTCCGTTGTTATTTAATATATACCCAGAGTACATCATGCTCAAGGTACTGGATCGGGGTAATGGGAGGATATCGGAGAGGCTCGCATGATATCAAACCAAAGATACGCCGGCGACACCACTCTTCTGTCTTCCTTACTGCCAGACACAGAACACCTTCTCCAACTTCTAGAATGTACCAGTCCTGAATTTGGCCTCGCTATAAACCGCGAGAAAACCAAAATGATGATTGTACAAAAACCGGTAACAGACCTGACATCAACAGCATAGTGTGAAGTTATCCAGATTTACATATATTTGGGTTCTAGGACTATTACCAAAACTGGGAGTTGTGAGGGAGGAGATACGAAGGCGATGTGTTGTAACACGTTCGGTTGTAGAAAAGCTCGAGAAGATTTGGTTCTGGAAAGATAGGTTTGTGCAGTATGTTAATTAAATAACATCGTATAATCGACCTTTCATTAACCCGTTGAATGTCGGTTTATAAGACACAATAGAAAATAAGTACATTGTCTAGCGTGGATCCACGTTTAAAACATACGAATGGTTAAAGAGCACCCAAGTCTCCAGTGGTGACCGCGACGTGATCCTGCAATACATGCCGATATCTAGGCCTCTGCGAACTTTTTAGTGAAGATGTGTGTAACAACTACTTATAAACTTTATGCGGCTAATGGCAGTCAATCTGTAATTGTTGTACGGGGAACATGTGCACTATGTTAATTAAATAACATCGTATAATCGATCTTTCATTGAAGAGCACCCAATTCTCCAAAGGTTCATAACAAACAATAGGTACCAAGGTTCGACTGATGCGATGCTTGGTTTTTCCCATCTTTCTCTGCGGAAACATGGACGATTCGTAAAAGGGATCACGGCAGAAGAGAACGAGCTGGACCGCGCATCGCACCAATGTATCCATATATAAAAAGTTTCGCTTCAAACAAAGCCTCTTCGATTGTGCAAGCCATAGCGAACGCTTAAAATGTTTGGTTCATATCATCCGAAACGAAGACCAATGGAACGATTGATGGTGCAAGCGAGAATAGAGGGTCAGCGTCCTCGTGGTCGGTCACCAACCAGACAGACGGCGTTATAAAATCAGTGACGTCCAGCTCAATAGTGCAGTGCGCGAGGAATGCCACTTACAGAAAAAAGTGAAATCACAAGGGTTGCCACCAAGGACATACCATGATCGCGATCACTAACAAGAGTGTACGATTGAAACAGATTTATAATATATGAGATCTAGCCCAAGGTTTCACTACCGCTCTAGCCAAATACCTACTAAGCGTAGCGTAACGTGAGAGATTAACATAATTCGAGGCTTTCTGTAACTATAATAAATCAATTGCCTCGTTGTGAAGTTGATATGTCGATAGCAAAGAGGATAAAACCCGGGTTAATTTCTCTATGGTCGATAGTGACGTTCCAATTGATACCTAAATTGTGAAAGCGTTTCAAGTCACGTGATTGAACATTTTGCACCTAAACACCACGCCGTGCCATTTTCTGTTGTGGGGACAGACATCCGACCTTGAGTCGTGGTTACATACTCTTTGCTTGAGTCTATCTTTGCGCCGTCAGGATTTTATTGATGTATCACCATGTTATTAATTTGTTGATGAATTTAAATTTTTTTGTAAATGTTGGTAACCTAATAAAATTAAAGTGTAAGAGAGCCATACTTCGACACGAATGGGTCGGCTCGACCGGAGTTGTAACCGTTTGTTCTGTATTCTGAGGTTGTACAACGGCCTCACAGAAAACCGGCGTGAAACAACCACAGCGTTGTGTTTCGCCGTGTGAGTAATCTCCAAAAGGTTAGCAACGCACTCGTAACTGCTCTGTTGTTGCGCGTGTCCATGGGCGGCGCTGATTACTTACCATCAGCTAATCCGTCTGCTCGTATGACGACATAAAAAAAAAATTAGATTAGTAGAACGTAAGTCCTTGTGTCAGCTTGAAGTTGTCATGCTCACTCGGAGGGCTCGTTAGCGGTGGCACACATCTGTACAAGGATATTGGATCGCTCGATTCCCTATATTGACTAGGGCGATGCTGGTGTAGGTACGTCATGTTCGTGAATGGGCGGGGACTAGTCAACACGAGACTATCTGAATGTTTATGTGTTGAGGTTATTTCCTTTTTGCGTTACTTTGGCTATATAGGTATTAGTGTTACATTGTTCTCACATACTTAATAGAACCGACTGAATGTAACCAAATAAATATTGTGAAACTTATTGAAAAAGAGAATCTACCTATATGGTTTCGCTGCTCGTTTTTCTCCATCGGATTCTACACTTAGGAACGAGCAAATAGCTTCAAACCAAATGGGAGTCGGACTTGCGCTCGAAAGGATCTGCAACTGCATACTGCCAGATAACAGAAAATCTGTCTGTCTGGACAGAAGGGGAATGGACTCTTAGTAATATGGTCCAGTTTTTAACGATATTTACAGATCCATTTCAAAGTCTAAACTTTTAGTTTTAGTGGTGTCCGACCGAAAGTTCGATTTCGGTTGAGATTCGGCTAAAAATCAAGTTTCTGCCGCTGTTTCGGTTTCGGCCAAAGTCGGCCGAAACTTTTGCCGTAACCGAAACTTATTTGGCAAGTTCACCCTAGCACAACTGTCTTACTGATTGTGCAAATATAACTTTAAAAAAATCTAAATATGTGAGTTTTTGTTTTTATTATCTATGTTGAGACTGGAACTGGTCGTGATAGTAATTATAATTTTTATATAAGAGGTAGGTACCTAAAAGAGACTGATTATTCTTCTAAGTACAAAGACAATCCAAAGTCTTAAAGGGAAAATACCAATACTTATATAGTATTTAGATGACTGATTTGACTGAGAACTTAATTAGAAAAGTACACATTACAAACAAAACACTATGCACTAAGTATTTATAGGTTAACAAAAAATGTTGAACACTGGTACTCAAGGTAAGATTTAACTTGTGATTCACTTAATTATGTTGTGCTTGGACTTAATTCATTAACATTAATGAGAACTTTGCACCTATATGGATTATGTAAGTATATTGAAGGTCAGATTATGTAAGTATATTGACAGTCGAGGGAATTCCTCAACGATTTACAGCACTGAACATTGACTAACTCAGGACTACTACTATTACCGTGATTTTCGGTCTCAAGTAGCCGTCGTCTTCTCATCAATCGAAAACCATTATACTCGCTTGCCTTGCCTATCACTTAAAATGGTGAAATTAATATTTTTTAACAAAAATATTCCGACTTCAAAAAGTAAACTAAAAAGCAAAAAATAAATTTTCTTTGTAGAAATTAATTACAATACATTTGGCCAAGTAAAACAAAAATAGTGTAAAGATTATCTAGGTATTGTAAGTTTTATGATTAGGAGATACCGATCAATATATTTTTCTAATACTCTTGTTGTTTTGGTACGACTTTGATGATTCACTTGGCACCGACTTCAAGACTATAAAATGGTTTTTAATATTATTTTCTATTTAACTAAATGAAATAATGTATTAATTTTGAAGTCGGTAAAAATAATAGGTAAAATGCACCAAATTTCAGTATTTTAAAGAAATTTTAGTTAGTTTCGGTTTCGGTTCCGGCCGAAACTGAAGCCACGGCCGTACATTCTGTTTCGGTTTCGGCCGGGAAGTTTCGGTCGGACACTAAGTTTTAGTTACCGAGCACAACATAAACTTGGGTGTTTGTTAAAAAATAATATTTGCTGATTTGCATATTGATATGAAAGGCGAACCTTTTAAAGGCACTCACTCGCAAATCCGCAGATTTTAGAAATTAACTTTTTAATGTACCGCGTTTCGCGCGTTCCTCAAAGAGCCGTCAGACCACAGCAGGCAGGGACTAGGTTCCGTGCTCGGTTCAGATTGCGGATAAAGCGTAATAATTACTCTGAGTTGAGATGGGGCGGCGTTTAAAGTCCATTTGACATTCTAGTCGTCATTTTCTAAAAAGCACAGCGCAAAATATAGAAATAGGAAGACTCAAAGTTTCATTGCATAATAAAAAGTGTGTAAAATGAGAGTTATTAATTTATTGAAGTCTGTAGATGTAGGTCGCGCAGGTGTCAGTGCGCAGTAGGCAGCAGTGGGTAGCAGTAGGCAGCAGTAGGCTCACTGCGAGGTGAGCAGCGTCAGCTTCTCGTTGAGCTGCAGCTGAGTCTTGATGAGCTGCGCCAGCGTCACCACCTGCAACACGACGGATACACACTCTTCATTATACTCTAAGCATTCTAAAAGACGGGGACCCTTGTTTGGGCATCATTTTTATAAACAATTGTTAAGAAAAAAACTAAGGTGCTAAACAGGTCACTCTAATTGACCTGCCATCTACTTGACTGCACGGTTGGCGCGGTGGCTGGCCAACTAGCTGCCGCGTGGAGATCTAATGCTATAGAATCGCAGTCGTGACAACTCTGTAGATGCTCATGTTTACTCGAAATAAATAAACTTTAAGGCAATAGAGAGTAGAAAAGATACATTACCATAAGTAGATCTTTGACACTGGAGGCGAAGGCATCCGCGAAGGTGTCGGCGGCGAGGTTGGGCACGGAGTTGACGAGCTCGAGCAGCTCGCGGCCGGCGGCGTTGTTGGGCGCGGCGCGCTCGGCGAGCACGTCCTCCACGTGCGCCAGCACCTGCTCCAGCAGCGACGACAGCGAGCTCGCCGCCTCCGCCACCTGCGCCAGGTCCAGCATGGGCGCCACCTGCCGCGACCGACCGCCCGCGCCCATCGTCTTCTGGCACAGGTTCAAGCCTACGATCTGCGATTGCACACCACATCTTGTGAACTTATTTTTTAAGACAGATTTTTTAGAAACTTTGGTTAGTGACATAACATTTGGTTAGTAAAATATAATACATAGAATTAAAAAAAATGTATACATATGTTTGGTAAAAAGAAGACAGTAAATTACATTATATTACTAAGTATAATGATAATAACGTTAGTAGAACCTCTGGCTCGTAGCAAGTGAGGCCGACATCGATGGGTGTGAACATGCAGCCCTGCTTGCCCCGCGGCACGCCGAGCGCCACGCAGACGTAGGCGCGCAGTCCCATGCGCGCGCCCTGCAGCGACGTGTCCAGCGTCACGTGCACGGGCTCGCGGCACTCGCGCGAGTAGTACTCGTGGATCACCGACGAGTGGTTCGTCACCTCCGCGCCAGTCGCCCACCACCCTGCAACAACACTGCCATGTCAAAACCAGGTCATTGCTTTTTCAAATGAGAGTAAAGTAGAATCATTTTCAGTTTCTACATTAATAACAGTTAGTTAATTAGTTTTTCTTATTTGTCGTGGTCCAGTGTATGGTCACCATAATTAAGAAGCCAACATTGAAAATAAAGTGTTAGAGCGTTGTCCAAATGAGCAGCGACACAACAGATACTATGAAAGTCCTGAACTCAACACTATACAGCACAGCACCAAGTGGGACAATCTTAAACAAAAGGTTAGAGAGAATCACAATATTAAATTGCAGGAATTCTGCACAAACCATTTGAAAATGAAATACTAGAGTGTATTTAAAATTAATCAAAAAATCTGAAAATGGATTTTGGTTCTTAAGTGAAGATGACTTCCCAAAAATCATTTTGATTATTCAAAAGTAGAAAAACAATTAAGTTACAAAACAATGTTCGGTTTTCTTAAAATTTGCAGCAAAAACTGAGATGGGCCAATTTTTTTTTTAATTGCATTTGAGTAAATTACTGACGCGGTGACATGTGCAGTAATTGGACCGTAAAACCAGTGTATTTCGAAGCATTCTTTTGGATTGTCAGTAAAAACTTATTCTCTGCCTTGTTCTCACATATGGGTATGATAGTGTGTGATTGATGAACTTCTAAAACATGTTTTTTAAAGAGTAACAATCGAGTTTCTTGCTTATTCTTCTCCATTGAAATCTTCACTTTGGAATGAGCACATTCAGCTTCACTAACAAACATACTTTTCAAAAGAACCTATTAATGATTTAATTTTGACTCTTGTTTTTAATATCGAATGAGCATCCACCAAAAAATATTTCGATTGAGTTTTCTTAATCCATCATAAAATATTGTTAAATACATGCTGTTATGGGACTCTTTATAAGCTTAGCCCACAAGGACTTGGAAGTGTTTTTTACTACACTGGTAGTTATTATTAAAAATAGTAATTCCGCACTAATTCCAACTATATGTTTAATAAAATCTTTTTCTGTTCAATTAATAAGTTATTGCAAAATTTATAAACTATACTATATCATGCTTATGATATAGTAAAAATGTTATTATAGTGTCAACGAATATTTAAATGAGAAACAATATAATGATTAGAATATTAGTTATTAAATAAACTTAATAAAGCTCTCTTCCTCTCTCCTACTTTTACTTTAACTTTTACTTTAATTATACTTTGCTGTGCCCGACAGGGTCAATTATGATCTCATAATTTATAATTTACCACCTAAGAAACACATTGTGGAATGCAATAAATGATTGAGTATTGAGTATTGAGTATGAGCAACTTATATGAAGGTTTTACTACTTGGAAGTTAAAGCAAGGAAGTTTATTTAAACAGTAAAGATTGTAACTTACCTACAATATTCTCTGATGCATTCACTCTTCTGTTTAACTCATACACATCCATGGCATAGTTGAGCTCGGCTTCGACCTGGTCAGCATGTTCCTTGTGTGGTACGCAGAAGCAGTTCGTCACTTCCACGACTCCCTTGTCGCAAGTGCCTTAACATCACAACATTATAACCTCAAAACAATTTTTAACTTACGCATTATTTAAGAATATATCTTTACAGACCATTAAATGATTGAATTTTTAATTGTTCTATATGCTCGTGGTATAGGCAATTTAACGATACGTTTTATAGATACTATATGATGAAAAAATTGGCACATGACGATGTCAGCCGCAATGATTACAATAAAATTTTATTCAATTGATTGTATTTCAGCACAAATTACGTTAAATTACAAGACTTACCCAACAGAGTACCAATAACTCGGTGTGAATCTGCATTTCGCCTCTCGTAAGCATCTACTATTTGAAATAACACCACAGGGTGAATCTTGACGCTTAAATTCAACGCCATGTTGATTTGTGAAGACCGCTGACCGACGTTGTAGATGTCATTAAATGTTTTGCAATTGTGACAGCTTTTTTTTTGGCGTTTATGGCCTGGATACGAGTCTTTTAAGCCAAAATTGTGACAGCTGTGCTGTAGTAAGTGTTGCCATTGTATTAGTGCATTGCTATGTAGTTTATGCGTATGTATGTACCGAGGCTCTATGGTATTCACTCACACTAATGTCCCCATAGTTGAGGGACTTATAGTATGCCTTCGCAGTAGGTAACATTATACACTAAACTTAATAATATTGAACAAAGTTCGTTTTTTTCTACCTATAAAAACAAGGTACTTGAATCATCAAAACACAATCTTTAATGAATTCGTGTTTTTTATTCTGTCAATGTCAATGTCAAATCAAATTCATTTGGCTTAAAGGACTCGTATCCAGGCCATAAACTCCAAAAAAAAAATCAAATTCATCTATCAACTTGATGGCATTTAGGATGGCATCAACAATGTCAACTAATGTTATGGTAGTTGACAGACAGATTGGCAGGCAGACAGATTTTTGCCGGAGCCGATCACTGAACGTGTTGCATCATTTATTTTTAATTTTCTTGTTGGTTATTTTTGTATTAGATTGCTTTATAAGTAAGAATAAGAAATCTATGTTAAATATTTTGAAAAAAACATAATAAATATGTTAAAATAGGATTTTACAGAAATTCTGAATAAAGCTCTAGGGACTACATGATTTCTTAAAACAATCAATATAATTATCTAGGTTTGATTTGAGCGAAGTGTTTTACAATTTACAACATGTACCGTAACTTATTTAAAATTTTGAAACCCATCAGAAATGAGTTGGTAAGAGCTCTTATTATCTATTTCACATCAAATAACACTGTAATACTTAATTTAATGATAAATACAAAGTTCTGCTTTTAATCTTGGCAGTCGAGGAAGGCACGTCTGGGGAGTGTGACTGATGGAGGCAATGCATTCGAACGGAACAGCATTTCCAAGGAGCAACAGCTTTCTGAAATTCTAAAGCGCTCACTGCCTGGCATTACTTATGTCAGTGTACAAGACATATCCGGAGGGTGCGGTGCAATGTTTGAGGTATTTATTTTAAAGCTATTTAATAAATAATGTTAATATTTTACTTTAACAGTATTCAAAAGGTATATCTGATGTCAAAATAAACAAATAGAGAGCTAAAAACGAATCCTCAGACAGAACATTTAGTAACTATGACAAATAAGAATGTTAAGTACCTTTAAGTGATAGTATTTTTGGTGGGGTATCATTATTTAGATTATAATTAAAGTACATTCCTGGCAGTGCCCTAATAGGGTTTGCATGCTACTTACCACAATACTATTAAAACCTTTATATACCTATGACTGCTACAAAGGATTTTGAATTTGACTTTGATGATATTATGTACATTAAATGTAGGGAAAGATTTTTTTATTATTTCAGATCAATGTGGAAGCCAAAGAGTTCACTGGGTTATCCCGGGTCAAACAACACCGATTAGTTACTGAATCATTGAAGAGTGAAATAGCAGAAATGCATGGCATACGTATACACACAACTGTACCAGCAGTTGGTGACAAATGACAGCATTTGTAATGTTACCTGTGATATCTATGTTCCATCAAAGCAAGTGAAGCATAATCCTCATGTTGTGCCCATTGGTAGGTTTAGACTAGGAAGCTTTGTTGATTTTTGATATTATGTGGATAAAGTTGTTATATTTTCTGTTATAGTTTTAAAATAACAAGTTAGTGTTTGATTTATAGCATGGCTACATTCTAAATATTATGAAATAGATTGTAATAATAAATAGATACAATATAAAGTGTTTATTCATATGTTATAAGATCCAAGTCAAAGTACCACTTCAACATCATCAGATCTCTCATGGATAAGGTTTGAGCAAACCATACTTACCATACCAAGCAAGGCGGATTAGCGATATCAATCTTACAATGATTTTGAAATTAAATATGTCACGTTGTTTTCATTCACCTTAGATGGCGGTGTCCAAGCGGTGTCTCCGAACGCGGAAGCTACCGAAAAGCCAGCAGCACCTTTTTGTAGTCGAAACTTCGGAGTTTCTAAATAAATTGGTTGTCTAAAAAAATAAGAAAGTAGCTACACATAACTCGATAAAAGTCACATTATTACTTTCCAGAATTCGAAAACCTGCGTTATACAATAGGTAAGAAAAAATTACGCGAATTGTGAGAACACTTCGCGTAATTTTTAACTTTTAACTTAAAAATTAAAAATAATTATCTTTATCTTTTTATTAATTTTTTTTCGACCGACAAACGACCTCTCTCTCTAATTTATACCAACCCGAATGATCTGTCCAAGATATGTAGGTACCTAGGTATACGTACCTAATTCATTCCTCGAGGATAACAAAATTATCGTTCTATTCTATACTATACGGTGACCGGTTTTTTTTGTGAGGGGAAAATCATCGAATGGGCCAAGACCGCGGTGACTAATTGCGCTTATCCGACAACCCCGGCTGAACTTCAGCCCTATAGTCCCCCGTTTGTGGTAGTCGTTGAAGCGCGTGCGTAACGCCACAGTATAAATATAAATATCATACAGTATTGTTACTCGGCCGCTTGAAAGAAATAAATACCTACAGCCGCGCGGTACGTAAACATGCGTTAGGGCTGCTCGTCTTCAGTATTTTAATTACCTTTGTCTACTTTCTGTTTCCATTTAGTTTTGTGATTGTAAATATCCTTTTTTTTATATAAACAAATAAAGTGCTTTAAAAATAAACAAAAAAAATTTCTTTGGCCACTAATGCCGAACTGGGCAGCTGACGAATGTTCTAAAATCACAACCCTCAAACATCAAAATATTACATGAGTCTAGCTGTTTTATTGTTGTTATTAAATATTTTCTAGTATTATTCATAAACGCAGATAATAAACAAATATTATTAATAATAAAATACCACACCACAGAGTACATTTTAACAATAGGTGATACCACACCCTCTACTTTGAATTATACAAACTAACAAAACATACATGAACCGTTTTAACACAAGCGTAAGTAGGTAGGTACCTAACGTATCATGATTCATTCAGAACCAGAACCGCCTATAACTACCTATTTTACTCGTCTCAATAACTTTATTCATATTATTTATAAATTCAAACATCTGTTTTCGTGAGATAACTGGAAATAATGATCCATAAAGACACACATTATGTACCTACCTAGGCTACTAGTAAGTAAAATAAAAATTATTTTATAGTCTTACCTTTCAGAGTTTCCAGGTAATTTAAAAAAAACTTATGTCTGGACGCGTTATTGACGAATTCATGCAACCAAACATAATAACAGCACAATATTTCCTATTCGTCATATTAAATAATGTACTCGAGCTTTTTTTTTGTCAGGGGAAAATCATCCAATGACTTCTCCCGCCCAGGGTAAGGCGAGAGAGAGTGTCAGACTCTTACTGACTAAAAACCCCCCCGTTCCTTCTCCTGCTCTGGGCCGAGGTCGCGGTGCCTCATTGCGCTTACCCCGCAGCCCCGGCTAAACATCAGCCCTTTAGGGCCCCGACTGTGGTGGTCTATTGGCTCTTTGAGGCGCGCGCGGAACGCTACGCGCCGTACGCTCGGGTCCGGTTCTGGTCGGGCGGCGAGCTACCCTTACTCGCCGTCCGCAGACCCGCGCTTACGGTGGCCGGAGATCATCTCTCGATCCCCGACGTCCGGAATGTCGCCTTCTGCGGCGGCTGGGGCGCGAGGAGGATAGTTCCCTCACGCGCTCCGCCTCCTCCTTTGCGAGCATAACTGCTTGCAGAAGGAGGAGATAGCTTCCCAGTTCCTCTCACGCTGCACCATGGCCTCGATTAAGGCCGGGCGCGAGAGGTCGCCGCCGCCGATCACTTCCCTGAGAACACGGCGGTGCTCACTCCGCCACCGTATGCTCCACCGTGTCCTCCAGGTGATCCGCACAATGACGACACTCGGGCGTTTCCTCCCGCTGGATCCGAAACAGGAACCTACCAAAGCTGCCGTGCCCGGTAAGCACCTGCGTCAGGCGGAAGGTGAGGACGCCGTGGCGTCTCTCAAGCCACTCCTCAAAGAGGGGTCTTACCGCTGCTATAGTAGCGTGCCCGGCCCTCGGTTGCGACAGTCGCTGCTTCCACTCAGCCATGAGATCTCGCCGGAGCTCATTCCGCCACGCACTAATTTGGCGCGGCAGAGGATCCTCGCCCCGGCGACGCGCGTCTGTGCGCAAACTGTAGACGCGCGCGAGCGCCTTCGCTTCCAGATCCCATGGCGGTGATCCGGCAAGGAGGTTCGCCGCCTCCCCGGAGATCGTGCGATATCCGCGGATTATTCGGATAGCCATGACCCTCTGGGACGCGACCAGCGTACGAGCCGGCCGCCGCTTCAAATCCGGCGCCCACACAGGGGCACCGTAGAGGGCCATGGATCGCACAATCCCCATGTACAACCTCCGGCAGGAGGCGTTTGGCCCCCCGAGGTTGGGAAGGAGCCGCTTGAGCGCGGCCCCAGACCGTTCCAACTTAGGAGCCAAACGACGAAAATGCTCCGTGAAGTTCCATCGGCTGTCGAGGACGAGACCCAGGTACTTCATCGCCGACTCGACGCCGATGGTAACTCCTCCTGCCATTATTTGGGACCCATCTGGAGGTGGCGCGTTCCGACGGCCATAAAAACACATGTCCTCGGATTTGTGAAGCGCCACCTCAATGTACTCGAGCTGATTTCTAAATAAAAGACAACACACCGTCCGTTCGTCACTGCGGTACAGCCGCGTCTGTCTGCGTCCCGAGCGCGTCCCGACATCGGGCGCGTAGGTATAGTTCGCGTTTCGGCCGTTTCTATGAAGTTGAAATACTTGTAGATATTATTACCTTGGTAACGCTACGCGCCGTCCGCTCGGACTCGGATCTGATCTTTTCTGCTTATGTATTTGTATCTATGCTTAATCTGGCTAAGCGTGTGTACGTACGTGGTCAATGACGCAGCTTCTTGATAGCCAGATGTGCAGTTTGTGGCACACACTGTCGGCGCTAAAACAATAAACATCGATTGGTGCCAGCACTGCCATAGATTTTTATAAGGTAGCCTACCTACAACTGAAATGAAAATAGGTCTGCCTTGACTAATATTCGGTAAGTCCGATGCGATATTGCAGCCTCAGTTGCAGCCCACGATGAAGTATGCTTAACAACCTATTCACTATAGCTAAGCAACCTATTCACTTCGACTTAGAATACAACCAGGTTTTCCCCTTCAGAAGCGATAAGCTTCATACTTGTAAAGCGTCTGATGGTGCAATATTATTTATATTATCTATGGGTTGAAAAGGATAAGGGCGAAACAAGATACCTATGCAACTCCTTGCGCACCCTCCTAAATTATTTATTAGTCGACCCGTACCATATTATTAAAACCGTATTTCGTACAGGACCGAACTTGCTGTGGCGCAAGATAGCAATATAGAACAAAATAATCTGTGACTGAAGTACCGTCTCACCCTCTCAGCAACATCCTACCAGCTAGTTGCATCTTACTCTACGCAGGAGCCAAAGTTAAGGGTGGGCTTCAGACTTACACCTCAAGACCCATAAACCCCAAAACTGACATGTTCTGGGTAAGTAGAAGCCAACAGAAATTGCCTAGCTGTTTGGCAGGAAACAAAGAGTCGACAGAATACTTAAAGAGGGATTTACTTTTTATACGTAGTATCAACATATATCATGTACCTAGGCTTTTTTTTGTGAGGGGAAAATCATCAAATGACTTCTCCCGCCCAGGGCCGGGCAGGAAGGAGTGTCAGACTCTTACTGACTAAAAACCCCCCTGTTCCTTCTCCTGCTCTGTGCTGAGTTCGCGGTACCTCATTGCGCCTTGGTACCTAGGCTAAGGTCACCGTTTTCAATAAGACAGTCTCTTGATAAGCTTTGTTTCTTGCTATTTTGATCAAGAAATACCTTTATACTTATAGTGCTTAAAGCCGATATGTAGTGTTAGGAAAATTGAATCGGTTTCATTTACTTTGGTTTGAGACAAACTTAGATATATTAGACTAGCTACTCTCGCGCGGTTTCCCGCTGCTCGGCTCCATTTAGTGGTAGCGTGATGTTTTATAGTCTATAGCACTCAGGAACACTGTAGCTATCGATCAGTGAAAGAATTTTGGAAATCGGGCCACCGGTTCCAAAGAACTATATAACTTATAATATTAGTATAGAAGTATAGATATATAGGAGACATACGCCACGAACTACTCCACGCCACGTTATATATTTATAGCTTCACGCTATAATTTGTAAAGTGAGGTGTGACAGAGTGAAACAATAAAACAGTGTTCAAAAAATTCAATCAATTCAAAAAGTGTTGAATCAAAACCTAAATGAGTTCAGAAAAATTTGACTATAAACATTTTATTTTATTTTAATAATCTTCCATGAGAAAAAGGGAATTCCACATGGCGAGTATTGTCACTTTGACAATTTGCCATTTTGACTCTTGAGCTTTTGACAGCTGTTGTCAACACATTGAAGGAGTTGCTTTGGTTAGGAAAGTGTCGAAGTCATAAACACGTGTGGTTATTTTGAAGTTAGTGATAGTGCGTCTTGTCCGACAATTTAATCAGAATGCCGCCTTTTAGAAAAGGTTTATTGAAGAGAAAAGTAGATGCTGAAGACGTGGTGCAAAATGAAGGCGTGAACACAATTAATCAGGTAGGTAATTATGAAAATACATGTTGCATTCAGATGTTGCAATTAACGCGAGTATTTATATAGGTGTATGTCTGTAACGAATGTCTTGTCTTGCTCAGTGGGTAGCCTTAGGGGCGGATTTCTTGAAAACTATGCGAAAAACTTACATTATTTGGTGCATGTATTTTATTAAGCTTGTGCTTCACTTTTATAATGTATTTCCGACAATGTTAAAATAATGTGGTGCCACACGAGTCAATAAGCTAAATAGTGGACCATTCCTACATTTAGTTCCTCTGTGCTAATCCTAGAGTCAGAATTTATGGCAGTAAAAAGCCCAAAAACATTTTGTTGGACCTGCTCTTTATCTGGAAATCCCTTACTCAGCAGTAAAATTTTGTTTGTTTGATTGCTAATCACAGACCTTGGTCCCCCAGCAGGTAGCACTCCCAATTTACTATTAACCATGTATGGACATACATTCTGGATATTAAGTAAAAGGCAATTGCATGTGTCATTCAAAATGAAACTTGTAGAGCTAGTAGAAAGTAATTAATTTTGTATGTCATGCCATGGTACTTTACACACTTAAATAGTTGTTGTTAACTCTGATTCAGTATGAACTGATTTCATGTATTATTGAGGATGCATTTTTTTATCAGACCGAAGAAACAGATCAAGATTTAATCACTGGACAACTGGATGCCGCCAGTGACACAACAGACTCCGAACATGAAGACAACACAGAAGTGTTTTCGGATCATGAAAGAGATGTAGGTAATTTGTGTGGATTTATATTTCCTTTTGGTTCATCATCATGATTGTCAGCCATGTGATTTCTCAAACCACAGAAAGATCATGATTAGTAAAGAACTATTTTTGACTAGAATTCAAACAGAACCTTTAGTATTCAGATTTTTATAATAACAGTTCTGTCAGGAGAGTGTCAGTTGTGACATGTAATGTAGTAGAACATGAAAGTTAATGTTCTATGAATATGCACCAAGTTTCTAACAATACCATTTGCTAATGCACAAATTAAGGCTTATTATAAAATTTCATGAAATGAGAATAAGTATAAAAATATAAAATTACCAGTCTTCCAAAAGTATAAGTAATATACCTAGTCTAGCCATAAATACTGTAACAAATAAAAAATTTTCTATTGCAAATAACATTTATTACTTTTACAGTATGTAAGTTAAATACATAAATATAAAACAATTTAAAACATAAAAAGCTTATTCGAGGTGGTCTCCATTGGCTGCAATACAGTCCTTTAAACATTGAGGCCAGTTATAATAGAAGCATGCACTCTTTCCATGGGAAAATTCTTCACTGCCAATCGTATGGATTGTTTTAGGGAGTCCAAATTATCATGACGTTTAGAGCAAGCCCTACTCTCTAAAACTGACCATAAATCATAATCCAGCAGATTAAGACGACGGCCAGTCTTCAGCTCTGATCAAGTCGGAAACGTTCGTTTCCAACCATGACTGCGTGGACCGAGCTTTATGACCCGGCGCCGAGTCTTGCTGGAAGGACGATTGTTGGTTATTGAACATGGTGTTGTTAAGGGGCTTAACTACCTTCTCAAGAATGTTATTTTGATACACTTGTGCCGATGTTTTGATACCTTTTTCGCAAAAGTATGGCTTAGTCACTCCTTCATAGCTAACACCCCACCAAACCATTAGCTTCCTTAGAGTCGTCAGAGTACGGTCATTTCGTTTTTTAAAATGTTGCTCGATTGTAAAAAATTCTCATCTGTAAACAAAATTTTTCTGTGACCTCCCTTTGCGTACCGCTTCAGTAGTTGTTTAGATTTTATCACGCTATTCTTTTTTAAATTATCATTTAAAAAATGTCCAGTGCGTCTCTTACAGGCTGCAAGTTCTAAGTCGTCTTTTAAAATACGCGACATGGTCTTTTGCTTTCGGACAGGACTTCTTCGAATTCTTTCCCTTACTGCTTTGACCACTTTTTTCGTACGAACACTACGTGGACGGCCAGATCTTTTTCTGTCACAAACAGAGGAGGTCTTATTGTATCTATTAATAGCCCGGTACACAAACATTTGACCAATGCCAAGCGTGTGAAGAGTTTTAAAAATTGCATTTGGCTCCATACCCACTTTGTGTAATGCAATCACAGCGATTCGGTTCTCTTTATCACCCCACTCCATTTTAATATCGCAAAATATTGAACAATTTATTGGCGCCAAAATAAGAAAACACAATGAAAAATTATATAAAAATGACAGATTCTAAATTTAAATGTAATATTTTGTTTATTTTTAATTGTAACAGTATTTATGGCCAGACTATGTATATAAAATTGTGAGAACATCCTAACATAAGCATAAGTTATAACATATCCGTGTCTCCACAGTTATTGTTGTACTGTTTTCAGGAGGTTCTATTTGATGAAAGTGCTGACTCAACATTTGGAGATGACGAACAAGCAGATGATGCTTCAGATTCATCATCAGTAAGTTGATTTATTACAATGTGTTGCACCACCACCACCAACTTGTTTGCATAAACCAGACTACAATACTTATTGCATAGTACAGACCAGCATAGTTGAAACCATTGTCTTTTGTCTTAACCACATCACTACCCAAAATCTATACTAATATTTATTCATTCATACACTTTATACAAAAACATGTAAAGGTGGACTTAATGCCTAGGGCATTGTCTAACAGTCGACCTTTGGGTGATTGAGAGATGAGAGTGGCAGGTGACAAAACAATAAATAACAAAATTTTATCAATTTACATTACTTAGATACCATAATTATATAAATATATTGTATATATAAAAAAGAAATATGAAAGATTATGCAAGTTATGAAAGATTTGAAATCGCCAATTTTTTGAGAAGATGCTCACGCAATCTTGATTATAAAATTATAAGTGGTATGAAACAATGAATTTATTTTTGCAAATAGGCCATAAAACGGCAATTTTACACGTCAAATTATATGTGAAAAACTAGATGAAGCCGGCATTTCCTATCTGACTACTCTGAGAAGAAATAAAAAAAAAAAAAAAATAAGGTAAAAATTTAAATTGTAAGTTTGTAATTGTGTAAGTTTGTATCTACATACAAACTACTCGCGGGGTAGCCAGGGGTAGCCTACGCTACCCCTACATACAAAGTTACAAATTCTTTAAAAACACTGGATGATTTCCAAAATTCTTTCACTGATAGATGCCAAGGTTGACTGCACGGTTGTTGCGGTGGCTGGGCAACTGGCTGCCGTGCAACGTGTCGCGGGTTCGATTCCCGCACGGAACAACACTTTGTGTGATCCACAAATTGTTGTTTCGGGTCTGGGTGTGATGTGTATGTGACATTGTATGTTTGTAAACGCACCCACAACACAGGAGAAAATCCTAAAGTGGGGCAACGTTTTTCAAAGCTCAAAAAAAAAAGCTCAAGGTGCCTGATTGCTTTAGCCTATAACAAATCACTTTCTAATTTATAAATTTCAACTAATACTATGTAGACATATGTTATTTAGGAAAAAAACAAGTGATGCTACTCATTAGTTTGTAATGATGGTTTTTAATAAGTATGTCATGCATAAAATTTTGCACTTGTGTTATTTTGCAAAGTTTGATTGCGTTTCACGGATGTTTGTTTTAGGATGTCACAGACTCTGAGGACGATGGGGAGTCTGGAGAGGAGGATGCCGACTCAGACAGCGAGGCGGACAGCGGCGCGGAGTCTGGCCCTGCGCCGCCCTCCGGCGACAGCGCGTCGGACGAGGAGCGCAGCAAGGCGCGGCCGGCCGGCAGAGTCAAGATAAAACCAGACGCCGCAACCCAGCACACGGACACTAGCGTCGACAGACTGGCAGACAGTATCCACAAAGCTACTGTAAACACACAACCTGTCACACAGAAAGGTTTATCTCCTTTACATTTACTTATTTATTGAGTTGTAAGTCTTGTTAATGAGATAGTGGTTGTGTCCTTTTATTTCAGCTCAGTTTCAGAAGAGGGTGGCTACTGAAACTGTTGTTATAGTTTAATAGTTTGAATTTTTGTATCAGATGAGTATTCGTCGGGCGACACGTCGGACGAGGAGGACCGGCGCAACACAGTGGGGGACGTGCCACAGTGGTGGTACCGCGAGTACCCGCACGTGGGCTACGACCTGGACGGCCGCCGCATCATCAAGCCGCCGCAGCGAGACCAGATCGATGACTTCCTCAAGTCAGTCCATCATTCCCACTACACACACACACGCACACTACAGGCACATGCATACACAACTACCATAGGCTACATCGTGAAATACAGCAGAATTCATTAAAACTGACAGATTTAATGACTGCACTAAAACCAACACAGTTAATTCTGGTATATCCATAATTCGATTCGAAATCACGTGGCACTTTACCTCGTCATTTTTTTTCCTCAAAAACGAGCCCACTTATTCAAACCAAATGTTAATGGTTTGTATGAACTATTTAAGAGACGGTTTATGTGAATTTTGCACACAATCAGTCGAGAACTCCTTTATTGATTAGCCGCTAGTAATGTTAATGTAGTATGGACAAAATACATTAACATAACTAGCGCACATACATATAAAATATACTATACATTAATATTAACACCTACACTAGATGAACACCACATAATGTATATAATATGTGCAGCAAAACTACAGTGTACAATTGGCGGTCTTATCACGGAGGGCGATCTCTTAAAGAAAATGTTTTGATGGAGAAATGCAAGGGAGACAGCATAGCGGACTCTCCCCGAAAACCCCCACATATCAAATTTCAGCAAAATCGTTAGGGCCGTTTCCGAGATCACATGCTTTTTCGAGTAATCAGCCTCAGCAAAGTTATAGATAATAGATTTGTGAATCTAGAGTGAATAGGCTCTTAATAAACTAGTGCGCCTTACCATCAACGATTGCATCACTGCTTACCATCAGGTGGGATCGCAGTCAAGCGCTAGTTTATTGCAAGTAAAAAAAAAAAAAATCTAATCGCCACTAACGCATGCAAATATCATTTAAATCGGTCAAGCCTTTTATTTATTTATTTTTATTTATTTATTTATTTAAGTCAGGCATCTGAGGCCCATAGAGAATACAATACATAAATAGTGTGTGTAATTTCTTTCTATAACTTAAAAACTAATGCACACGAAGTGTCGGCGTCGTGTTACGCTGCGTGGTGTCGCGTAGCCATCCTCGGAACCTCCGATATACGACACCCTTCGGCCAAAACTCTTCCTTGAGGAATGTCTCGACGTGATGAGTTGGAAATCGCACCATGAACGAATTAAAGTTCGTATTGTGGCGCGACTCCAACTTCGCCACCCTCAAGGTCCAGTTGGTCTTGGATCGGACATACTCCACGATCTGCTCCACCGTCGTGGTGTGATGTAGACGGGACACGTACAACTGCGTCGTTGGTACTGCAGGACGCAGCAGGATGTTTGGTCCAGTTTGTGCAGTTCCGCACTTATTCCTACAAGTTGGAGTCTTTTTTCTCCTTTCTACCTTTATGAAGCCATCCTTGTCGCAAGTGTCCTTCTTAGGACTAGTTTGTTTGTGGCTTTTAGGAGGAGTTACACACGTACAGTAGAATTATATATTTTTATATAAAGATATAGTTCTTTCTTCCAAGTAATTCCATCGTTATTGTAATTTTAGCAACTTTTAAGTTTGAGTGTACACGTTTGATAGAAAATGTGAAGATCCCGAGTTCTGGCGGACGGTGCGCGACCCCAGCACGGGGCAGGACGTGGTGCTGAGCAAGCAGGACCTGGAGCTGCTGCGGCGCGTGCGCGCGGGGCTCGTGCCCAGCGCGCAGCACGACGAGTACGCGCCCTGGCTCGACTGGTTCAGCCGCGACGTGCTGGCCGCGCCGTTGCGCGCCTTCCCCGACCACAAGCGCTCGTTCCTGCCGTCGCGCGACGAGGCGCGCGCCGTGGGCCGCCTCGTGCACGCGCTGCGCATGGGCTGGGCCAAGACGCGGCGCCAGCTGGCCGACGAGCGCCGCCAGCGCCGCCAGCGCGCCTTCTACGACCTGTGGGGCGCCGGCAGCGCCGACGCGCGCGCCCTGCAGCGCCACATCCCGGCGCCGCGCCGCCCGCCGCCCGGACACGCCGAGTCCTACAACCCGCCGCCCGAGTACCTGCTCGACGCGCAAGAGGTATCCTGCTTGCTCTATACGGATAGGGAATATCATAGAATCGGAATATCGGAATTCCAGCATTTGGATTATTTACCTGTATGTTGTACTATCGTGGATATAGCGTAGTAAGGGAGACATGTTTGTTGGTACAGATGAAGGAGTGGAACAAGCTGAGCGAGACGCCGTGGAAGCGCAAGTACACGTTCCTGCCGACCCGGCACGCCAGCCTGCGCGCCGTGCCCGCGTACGAGCGCTTCACGCGCGAGCGCTTCCTGCGCTGCCTCGACCTGTACTTGGCGCCGCGAGCCATCAAGATGCGGGTACGTGCGGCCCTGCAGGCGGGTTCGTACTGCGGGGCTGTGGCCTGACTAGAGTCTGTTGCAGCTGACGATCGGGCCCGAGGCGCTGGTGCCGACGCTGCCGTCGCCGCGGGAGCTGCAGCCGTTCCCCACGTTCGAGGCGCAGTGTCTGCGCGGCCACGACGGCCTCGTGCGCAGCGTCGACTTCGACCCCAGCGGCCAGTACATCGCCTCGGCCGGCGACGACGGAACCGTGCGCGGTCAGTGCACATTCTATACCTTCCACATGACTCTGCGGCTCTCTGTACTAGGTTACTGTCTGAAGGTGGCGCGCGTGGTGTGCGAGCTAGTAGTGCAGGGTGTGTGTGTGCGCAGTGTGGGAGACGGGGTCGGGACGCGTGCTGCAGCTGGGCGGCAGCGTGGCGCGCGTGGTGTGCGAGCTAGTAGTGCAGGGTGTGTGTGTGCGCAGTGTGGGAGACGGGGTCGGGACGCGTGCTGCAGCTGGGCGGCAGCGTGGCGCGCGTGGTGTGCGAGCTAGTAGTGCAGGGTGTGTGTGTGCGCAGTGTGGGAGACGGGGTCGGGACGCTGCGCGCGCGTGCTGCAGCTGGGCGGCAGCGTGGCGCGCGTGGTGTGCGAGCTAGTAGTGCAGGGTGTGTGTGTGCGCAGTGTGGGAGACGGGGTCGGGACGCGTGCTGCAGCTGGGCGGCAGCGTGGCGCGCGTGGTGTGCGAGCTAGTAGTGCAGGGTGTGTGTGTGCGCAGTGTGGGAGACGGGGTCGGGACGCTGCGCGCGCGTGCTGCAGCTGGGCGGCAGCGTGGCGCGCGTGGTGTGCGAGCTAGTAGTGCAGGGTGTGTGTGTGCGCAGTGTGGGAGACGGGGTCGGGACGCTGCGCGCGCGTGCTGCAGCTGGGCGGCAGCGTGGCGCGCGTGGTGTGCGAGCTAGTAGTGCAGGGTGTGTGTGTGCGCAGTGTGGGAGACGGGGTCGGGACGCGTGCTGCAGCTGGGCGGCAGCGTGGCGCGCGTGGTGTGCGAGCTAGTAGTGCAGGGTGTGTGTGTGCGCAGTGTGGGAGACGGGGTCGGGACGCTGCGCGCGCGTGCTGCAGCTGGGCGGCAGCGTGGCGCGCGTGGTGTGCGAGCTAGTAGTGCAGGGTGTGTGTGTGCGCAGTGTGGGAGACGGGGTCGGGACGCTGCGCGCGCGTGCTGCAGCTGGGCGGCAGCGTGGCGCGCGTGGTGTGCGAGCTAGTAGTGCAGGGTGTGTGTGTGCGCAGTGTGGGAGACGGGGTCGGGACGCTGCGCGCGCGTGCTGCAGCTGGGCGGCAGCGTGGCGCGCGTGGTGTGCGAGCTAGTAGTGCAGGGTGTGTGTGTGCGCAGTGTGGGAGACGGGGTCGGGACGCTGCGCGCGCGTGCTGCAGCTGGGCGGCAGCGTGGCGCGCGTGGTGTGCGAGCTAGTAGTGCAGGGTGTGTGTGTGCGCAGTGTGGGAGACGGGGTCGGGACGCGTGCTGCAGTTGGGCGGCAGCGTGGCGCGCGTGGTGTGCGAGCTAGTAGTGCAGGGTGTGTGTGTGCGCAGTGTGGGAGACGGGGTCGGGACGCGTGCTGCAGTTGGGCGGCAGCGTGGCGCGCGTGGTGTGCGAGCTAGTAGTGCAGGGTGTGTGTGTGCGCAGTGTGGGAGACGGGGTCGGGACGCGTGCTGCAGCTGGGCGGCAGCGTGGCGCGCGTGGTGTGCGAGCTAGTAGTGCAGGGTGTGTGTGTGCGCAGTGTGGGAGACGGGGTCGGGACGCGTGCTGCAGCTGGGCGGCAGCGTGGCGCGCGTGGTGTGCGAGCTAGTAGTGCAGGGTGTGTGTGTGCGCAGTGTGGGAGACGGGGTCGGGACGCTGCGCGCGCGTGCTGCAGCTGGGCGGCAGCGTGGCGCGCGTGGTGTGCGAGCTAGTAGTGCAGGGTGTGTGTGTGCGCAGTGTGGGAGACGGGGTCGGGACGCTGCGCGCGCGTGCTGCAGCTGGGCGGCAGCGTGGCGCGCGTGGTGTGCGAGCTAGTAGTGCAGGGTGTGTGTGTGCGCAGTGTGGGAGACGGGGTCGGGACGCGTGCTGCAGCTGGGCGGCAGCGTGGCGCGCGTGGTGTGCGAGCTAGTAGTGCAGGGTGTGTGTGTGCGCAGTGTGGGAGACGGGGTCGGGACGCGTGCTGCAGCTGGGCGGCAGCGTGGCGCGCGTGGTGTGCGAGCTAGTAGTGCAGGGTGTGTGTGTGCGCAGTGTGGGAGACGGGGTCGGGACGCGTGCTGCAGCTGGGCGGCAGCGTGGCGCGCGTGGTGTGCGAGCTAGTAGTGCAGGGTGTGTGTGTGCGCAGTGTGGGAGACGGGGTCGGGACGCTGCGCGCGCGTGCTGCAGCTGGGCGGCAGCGTGGCGCGCGTGGTGTGCGAGCTAGTAGTGCAGGGTGTGTGTGTGCGCAGTGTGGGAGACGGGGTCGGGACGCTGCGCGCGCGTGCTGCAGCTGGGCGGCAGCGTGGCGCGCGTGGTGTGCGAGCTAGTAGTGCAGGGTGTGTGTGTGCGCAGTGTGGGAGACGGGGTCGGGACGCGTGCTGCAGCTGGGCGGCAGCGTGGCGCGCGTGGTGTGCGAGCTAGTAGTGCAGGGTGTGTGTGTGCGCAGTGTGGGAGACGGGGTCGGGACGCTGCGCGCGCGTGCTGCAGCTGGGCGGCAGCGTGGCGCGCGTGGTGTGCGAGCTAGTAGTGCAGGGTGTGTGTGTGCGCAGTGTGGGAGACGGGGTCGGGACGCGTGCTGCAGCTGGGCGGCAGCGTGGCGCGCGTGGTGTGCGAGCTAGTAGTGCAGGGTGTGTGTGTGCGCAGTGTGGGAGACGGGGTCGGGACGCGTGCTGCAGCTGGGCGGCAGCGTGGCGCGCGTGGTGTGCGAGCTAGTAGTGCAGGGTGTGTGTGTGCGCAGTGTGGGAGACGGGGTCGGGACGCGTGCTGCAGCTGGGCGGCAGCGTGGCGCGCGTGGTGTGCGAGCTAGTAGTGCAGGGTGTGTGTGTGCGCAGTGTGGGAGACGGGGTCGGGACGCGTGCTGCAGCTGGGCGGCAGCGTGGCGCGCGTGGTGTGCGAGCAAGTAGTGCAGGGTGTGTGTGTGCGCAGTGTGGGAGACGGGGTCGGGACGCGTGCTGCAGCTGGGCGGCAGCGTGGCGCGCGTGGTGTGCGAGCTAGTAGTGCAGGGTGTGTGTGTGCGCAGTGTGGGAGACGGGGTCGGGACGCGTGCTGCAGCTGGGCGGCAGCGTGGCGCGCGTGGTGTGCGAGCTAGTAGTGCAGGGTGTGTGTGTGCGCAGTGTGGGAGACGGGGTCGGGACGCTGCGCGCGCGTGCTGCAGCTGGGCGGCAGCGTGGCGCGCGTGGCGTGGCTGCCGGCGGCGGGGCTGGTGTTGCTGGCGGCGGCGGTGGGGCCGCGCCTGCTGCTGCTGGCGCCGGGGACGGGCTCGCAGCGCGCCGTGGAGCGCACCGACGATCTGCTGGCTGAGGCGCCGCCCGACCATGACGGCTCAGGTACGTTTACTACCATATTTGTACCGACTTTTTCGGGGGAGCGCGTGGAGCCGGCGCAGTGGGCGCGCGGCGTGTGTAGTAGTAGAGATATAGCGCGCGGCGTGTGTAGTAGTAGAGATATAGCTGGGTGTATGCGCAGCGGAGTGCCGCGCGGCGACGTGGGAGCGCGTGGAGCCGGCACAGTGGGCGCGCGGCGTGTGTAGTAGTAGAGATATAGCGCGCGGCGTGTGTAGTAGTAGAGATATAGCTGGGTGTATGCGCAGCGGAGTGCCGCGCGGCGACGTGGGAGCGCGTGGAGCCGGCGCAGTGGGCGCGCGGCGTGTGTAGTAGTAGAGATATAGCGCGCGGCGTGTGTAGTAGTAGAGATATAGCGCGCGGCGTGTGTAGTAGTAGAGATATAGCTGGGTGTATGCGCAGCGGAGTGCCGCGCGGCGACGTGGGAGCGCGTGGAGCCGGCGCAGTGGGCGCGCGGCGTGTGTAGTAGTAGAGATATAGCGCGCGGCGTGTGTAGTAGTAGAGATATAGCGCGCGGCGTGTGTAGTAGTAGAGATATAGCTGGGTGTATGCGCAGCGGAGTGCCGCGCGGCGACGTGGGAGCGCGTGGAGCCGGCGCAGTGGGCGCGCGGCGTGTGTAGTAGTAGAGATATAGCGCGCGGCGTGTGTAGTAGTAGAGATATAGCGCGCGGCGTGTGTAGTAGTAGAGATATAGCTGGGTGTATGCGCAGCGGAGTGCCGCGCGGCGACGTGGGAGCGCGTGGAGCCGGCGCAGTGGGCGCGCGGCGTGTGTAGTAGTAGAGATATAGCGCGCGGCGTGTGTAGTAGTAGAGATATAGCGCGCGGCGTGTGTAGTAGTAGAGATATAGCTGGGTGTATGCGCAGCGGAGTGCCGCGCGGCGACGTGGGAGCGCGTGGAGCCGGCGCAGTGGGCGCGCGGCGTGTGTAGTAGTAGAGATATAGCGCGCGGCGTGTGTAGTAGTAGAGATATAGCGCGCGGCGTGTGTAGTAGTAGAGATATAGCGCGCGGCGTGTGTAGTAGTAGAGATATAGCTGGGTGTATGCGCAGCGGAGTGCCGCGCGGCGACGTGGGAGCGCGTGGAGCCGGCGCAGTGGGCGCGCGGCGTGTGTAGTAGTAGAGATATAGCGCGCGGCGTGTGTAGTAGTAGAGATATAGCGCGCGGCGTGTGTAGTAGTAGAGATATAGCTGGGTGTATGCGCAGCGGAGTGCCGCGCGGCGACGTGGGAGCGCGTGGAGCCGGCGCAGTGGGCGCGCGGCGTGTGTAGTAGTAGAGATATAGCGCGCGGCGTGTGTAGTAGTAGAGATATAGCGCGCGGCGTGTGTAGTAGTAGAGATATAGCTGGGTGTATGCGCAGCGGAGTGCCGCGCGGCGACGTGGGAGCGCGTGGAGCCGGCGCAGTGGGCGCGCGGCGTGTGTAGTAGTAGAGATATAGCGCGCGGCGTGTGTAGTAGTAGAGATATAGCTGGGTGTATGCGCAGCGGAGTGCCGCGCGGCGACGTGGGAGCGCGTGGAGCCGGCGCAGTGGGCGCGCGGCGTGTGTAGTAGTAGAGATATAGCGCGCGGCGTGTGTAGTAGTAGAGATATAGCGCGCGGCGTGTGTAGTAGTAGAGATATAGCGCGCGGCGTGTGTAGTAGTAGAGATATAGCTGGGTGTATGCGCAGCGGAGTGCCGCGCGGCGACGTGGGAGCGCGTGGAGCCGGCGCAGTGGGCGCGCGGCGTGTGTAGTAGTAGAGATATAGCGCGCGGCGTGTGTAGTAGTAGAGATATAGCGCGCGGCGTGTGTAGTAGTAGAGATATAGCTGGGTGTATGCGCAGCGGAGTGCCGCGCGGCGACGTGGGAGCGCGTGGAGCCGGCGCAGTGGGCGCGCGGCGTGTGTAGTAGTAGAGATATAGCGCGCGGCGTGTGTAGTAGTAGAGATATAGCGCGCGGCGTGTGTAGTAGTAGAGATATAGCTGGGTGTATGCGCAGCGGAGTGCCGCGCGGCGACGTGGGAGCGCGTGGAGCCGGCGCAGTGGGCGCGCGGCGTGTGTAGTAGTAGAGATATAGCGCGCGGCGTGTGTAGTAGTAGAGATATAGCGCGCGGCGTGTGTAGTAGTAGAGATATAGCTGGGTGTATGCGCAGCGGAGTGCCGCGCGGCGACGTGGGAGCGCGTGGAGCCGGCGCAGTGGGCGCGCGGCGTGTGTAGTAGTAGAGATATAGCGCGCGGCGTGTGTAGTAGTAGAGATATAGCTGGGTGTATGCGCAGCGGAGTGCCGCGCGGCGACGTGGGAGCGCGTGGAGCCGGCGCAGTGGGCGCGCGGCGTGTGTAGTAGTAGAGATATAGCGCGCGGCGTGTGTAGTAGTAGAGATATAGCGCGCGGCGTGTGTAGTAGTAGAGATATAGCGCGCGGCGTGTGTAGTAGTAGAGATATAGCTGGGTGTATGCGCAGCGGAGTGCCGCGCGGCGACGTGGGAGCGCGTGGAGCCGGCGCAGTGGGCGCGCGGCGTGTGTAGTAGTAGAGATATAGCGCGCGGCGTGTGTAGTAGTAGAGATATAGCTGGGTGTATGCGCAGCGGAGTGCCGCGCGGCGACGTGGGAGCGCGTGGAGCCGGCGCAGTGGGCGCGCGGCGTGTGTAGTAGTAGAGATATAGCGCGCGGCGTGTGTAGTAGTAGAGATATAGCTGGGTGTATGCGCAGCGGAGTGCCGCGCGGCGACGTGGGAGCGCGTGGAGCCGGCGCAGTGGGCGCGCGGCGTGCGGGGCTCGGTGCTGCATGCGCGCGAGGTGGCCCACGTGTGCTGGCACGCGCGCGGGGACTACGTCTGCTGCACGCTGCGGCCGGGCGCGGCGGGCGGCGCGGGCGGGGCGCGCGCCGTGCTGGTGCACCAGCTGTCGCGGCGCCGCTCGCAGCTGCCGCTGGCGCGCTGCAAGGGGCTGGTGCAGTGCGCGCTGTTCCACCCGACGCGGCCGCAGCTGCTGGTGGCCACGCAGCGCGTGGTGCGCGTCTACGACCTGCTCAAGCAGGAGCTGGTGCGCAAGCTGCTCACGGGCGCGCAGTGGATCAGCAACATGGCCGTGCACCCCGCCGGGGACAACCTGCTGGTCTGCTCCTACGACAGGAAGTGCATATGGTAGGTCGCGGCGGCCGGCGCTAGCGGCAGCGCTAGTGCCGGCCGCCGCTCACCGCCGCCCGGGTGCGCAGGTTCGACCTGGAGCTGTCGTCGAAGCCCTACCAGACGCTGCGGCTGCACGGGGGCGCTGTCCGCTCCGTGGCCTTCCACCGCCGATACCCGCTGTTCGCGTCCGGCGGAGACGACGACAACATCGTCGTCAGTCACGGCATGGTCTACAAGTGAGTATCTACACTTCTCTTTGCAATATCTACCAACCTGAATCATTGCTGTTTTTAGCACCGACGAAAATAGAGAAGTTGTTATAAATTTGCTGTCTGTGGCATCCTGGACCCTGAACGGATGAAACGACTTCAATTTTTTTTTTTTTTGTATTTAAGGTGACTTACGTGCGTACGTACGTATTCTTAGACAATTTTACGGAAATCGGTTAAGCCGTTTAAAAGTTATGGGGTGTTAAGTGGGGAAGGGTAACCGAAAGTCTACAAATATACTCGAGTGGGGTCTCAAATGAAAGCGCTCTGAAAGGGAATGTTGATGACTTAATCGAGAGCGCTCTTTGCAATATAAAATGCATATCATTTCAATTACCTATGAAATGTGTAAAATAAACCAATAATCAAAAATTTTAAAAACACCCGTAGGTATACAAAATAGTGCATTATAAAAAAATATTTTTTTACTTTTTAAGGGGACCATAGTTTTTTAGTCGGGGGTTTTAATATTTTTTTTATCATGCAAAATAATAACACAATTGTAAACTATCAACCAACGTAACATTCGCTAAAGAACAAAGAGCAGAAAACTATCTGAACTAAAAAGGAAATTTTAACACAACTGTTTGATTTCGTTGAAACGATGAAACCTCAAGTTCCTCTAGTACCTCTCAGTTGTAGACAACAACAAAATGCAATCTGTAGGCGTCGTTTACGGAGTGCGCTTCGTGTACATTGCATTGTATGGCGCGTCTCCGTCAACGAGGCCTCTGGTTCCGAGGAATGTGGCTCAAATAGTTTAGCCTTCGACAAGGTTTCTAAGCAAACGAGTGTGAAGTCGTATAAGACGCAAAGCAGCGTAGTGAGTGTAGCGGCGTGTTGCAGCGACCTGCTGCAGAACCCGCTGCTGGTCCCGCTGAAGCAGCTGCGGGGCGGGGCGCGCGCCGCCGACCTGCTCGTGCTGGACCTGCGCTGGCATCCCACGCAGCCCTGGCTGCTCGCCGCCTGCGCAGACGGCACTCTGCGCCTCTACGCCTAGTGTGCCGCCGTGGACCCATATACTTGAACATTTCACCTTTCTTTATCAAACTGTATATTCCTTGTTATGACTCATTGTAAATACGTGCTAATTGTAACCTAATAAATGTTTAAGCCAAATATATTCGGGTATTGTTTGTGTTCCGCCCGCGTCCAGAAACTGCAAGTGTATGTACCTATCTATACTAATATTATAATAAAGAGGTAAAATTTGTAAGTTTCTATGTAGGGGGTAATTAATCTCTTTGGAACCACTGGTCGGATTGCCAAAATTCTTTCACTGATAGATAGCTACAATGTTCCTGGAGTGCTATAAACTATAAAACATCACGCTAGGATTAAATGGAACTTCATTTAAACGCGAGAGTAGCTAGTCACAGATAAATCTGCACTGAACTCTACTTCGAACAATTTATATCTGATCTAAACTTGTGTCAGCTTGGAGTAGTCATGCTCACTCTAAAGGTCTCATTGGAGGTGGCGCGGGCACTGGATCGCTCGATTCCCTCTATTATTATTAACCACACAGTGCCGTACAGTGTGTGTGCAGCATATATGCCGCAGGCTTTACCGCTTTTTTTATTGTAATTTTGTATTTTTTTTAAATGTAATAAAATATAAGTAACTGCGGCGGCAGTGCTGATGATTTCCGCATTAATTGTAATCAACCTACAAAAAAAAAACACTTCAATAGCGTTCTATGTGATTGTCACAAACGGCATTGTGCGGCTTGTGCCGGTGGGTGGCATAGCCGCTAGGCATGAAGCTAGGCATGAACCCGGGGCATTGCCGCCGGCATGGGTGTAGTAGCCTTTATGGTTGAGTTGGGCGTACGCGTCATGTTCGTGAACGGGCGCCGTCATTGGATTGGTCAGCTTCAATCTGTCTAAATATATTGTACTTAAAGCTTACTTTCTCGAAATACTAGTATTACACTGGTCTCACATAATAGAACCAACTTAATAATGAACCAAATAATCTGTAAGAGAAACTTATTGCAAAAGAGTAACCATAGAGTTTTTTCTCATTCTTCTCCAGTGGAATCTACAATTAAAAACGAGCAAACTAGCTTCACTGGCTGACCAACAGACTGACACTTTTTATCTTTAGGCTTTGTTAACGTGCTTTGGTTACCGAAGGTCCAATCTCTCCCTCCAGCCAGTCCATCATCAAACTGATAGTTTTCGGGCTCTTGATCGAACGGCTAATTGAGTGCGACGTGTAAGTACCTACACAGATGCAGTGCCGGCATGGCCGGTAATGGCCACTGACATCCCCGGCGAAAATATTGTGTTGGTTTTATGCTAATCCCAAACTTATGCTATTTTAATGTAATATGAGGCGACTGAGCAGACAGATGCCTGGTACTAAATTTCATCTCTCCTTAGTCTTATCCAATTAAAGAAGCGGACGTTAAGGGTTTGAAAAAATAATTGAAAAGTATACAAAATAGGACAAAAACATCTAACAATGTCCTCCAACAATCTTTAATCACTCGCCTATAGGGTTTCAGGGAAGACAGGATCCTTCAACCCCAGACCTTGCCGCCACCTTGAATTTGTCGCCATATCGCTCTTGCACACATTTGGCCTAATGGCTCTTAAACGCCTCACCAGGGAGCAATACGCATACGCATGCTGTACCTAATTGTCTGGAAAAGACCGCGAGGTTTATTTTTCTATGCTTATTGACTATAAAGTGTGGGAGAGCCAAGCTTCGGATACCACTGCCTCACAGAAAACCGGCGTGAAACAACCACAGCGTTGTGTTACACCGTGTGAGTGAGATTACTGGAGGTACCTCCCCCTCCCCTATCAGTCATTCAGTATCAGTAAAAAACCAAGAATGCACTTGTAAGTTCTTTGGTGTTGCGGGTGTGCATGGGCGGCGCCGATTGGGTCATCAGGTAATCCGTCAGCTCGTTTGCCAACTTATTCCATAGAAAACAATGAATACTCGTACCGTGTAATTGGGTTCGCAACAACCTGCGGTGAATTCGTGGCGCTTCACCTCCTTTTGTTCGTAGAGTACCTACGCATGGCCCCGGCCCGGTGCAGTATAAGGACCGGGGTGGTTTTTAGTCAGTTATTTGACTGCACGGTTGGCGTGGTGGCTGGGCAACCGGCTGCCGCGCAACTTGTTGCGGGTTCGATTCCCGCGCGGAACAACTCTGTGTGTGTGTCCAAGAATTGTTTTTCCGGGTCTGGGTGTGATGTGTATGTAATTGTATGTTTGTAAGCGCACGCACGACACAGAACAACATCGTAGTGTGGGGAAAAGTTAAAAAAAAATAACAAAAAACAAGCAATGGGCTCGTACTTGCGCCTGGTCTGTGCAGCAGTATAGACAAATTATGTAGTCGTCGACGACAGCTCGTCTGATCAATTACAATACTTGCTACATTTTCCGTGGTGAATGGTGACTGGGCTTCTCACAGTTGTACAGTCTCTTCTTTAAGGCTTAAGTCATTCTGTCTCCTGCATTAAATGTAGGTACCAATTAAAGGATGTGGAAACTGTGCCGAGCGAGTGTCGGCCATTGACAATGTAACCTGGTGCAGTGAGCTGCACGAATGTGTACTGTGCAATAAAAGTCAAGTATCCAAGATCCAAGTCTTTGAATCATATTACAGAAACTATTTAGTTTTTTCATCTACTCAGTGTTCCGGTGTTTTCATGCTTGTATCTACTGGAGATCCTGGCTTACGGGAGTTGCAGAGGTTTTAGGAGGTTGTGCCAGGCTTTTCCCAATAAAAAAATGGTCGTCTGACCGGTATCATTGACGCTAAGATTGCTCTGGGATTGGTAATTTCAGCAACATTATTTTAACTATATAGGTATAAACGACCTGCCGAAGCCACATCTTTGGATGTGCCTACAGTTTATAAAGAGTTGTTGAGAGGAATAAGTCTGCACTCCCGCTTAACTGATCAAGTTCAACGGTACCAAAACTCTAATGAGCCTGTTTTCCTGACACTCACTAGCTTTCTTTGAATGTGTTTCGTTATCTTTGCATCCTATCCTTGGAGGCCGCTAAGTGTAGCACAGTATAGTGTGTCTCTACATGCGGTCTGGCTCAGTTGTCAGCAGAGGGGTATAATACGACTGAGCCTCTCCTCCCTCTCTCTCCGCTTATTTATTTATTTATGTTAATACGGATTAGATTCAATTACATTAACAACTAACTACAAGAAAAAGTACAAAATTCATAAGTTCCTTTCGCACAACAATATGTAGTTGCATTACATTCCAGGAAATCGTTAATCAGGATTACCTAGTGGAAGGAATTGGTGACTTAGCACGTGCGACAGTTCGACATTGGGTACCTACTTATATCCATCGGGAGCTCTCCACTGGTCTTCAACCTGCATGATGGCGAATTCTTGCGATTACTCGTCGGTAGATACCCACCGACGAGTTATCGCACCATTAATTGGTATTACGCTACAAAACCAGCCGCCCGCCTGTGGGATGAATATTTCAAATGAAGAGGGCAGACTGGAGGCCTCTTGGCGACACGTTCAGCTCGGTGGGTTTGTTCATAGGCCGTCGTCGGCGTCGTTCGGCGGAAGCCTTCGACCATAAGGGTCCGTTCACACAGACCGGCTCGGAGAGGAGAGCAGATTCTTATCACGATGAAAACAGAGTTTTTAGTATGTGTATTAAGGTTTATTTTTTTATGTGCACAGCTTTTGTCATTAAGAATGCTTGAAGGCGCTTGGTGTGAAATAATAAGAGGAGCTGACCGGCTCCGATCGCGTACTTTTTCTCGATCGTGCAGCCGTTTGGCTCCGATTGCATGCTCTTTAATGCTCGCGCAGCCGATCGGTTCCGATCGCGTGCTCTTTCTCGCTCGCGCAGCCGATCGGCTCCGATTGCGTGCTCTTTCTCGCTCGCGCAGCCGATCGGTTCCGATTGCGTGCCCGTCGCACCACGCCGACTGCCATTTTGCTTTCAACAAGCAAGCGACAGCCGGCTTTCGCGCCCCTATTGTATTTCTATCGTGTCTCGAATCACTTGTGTTCGAAGTTTTCAAACGGAACAGTTGTATGCACTTGTAGGAAAACATGACTGACGAAAAATTAATAATACTAGTGTCAAAATATGAGTGTTTATTTGACATAACCAAGCCATCGTATAGCGATCGGGTAATGAAAGACAATGCGTGGGAGGAAATAAGCAAATGTGTGGGGTTAAGTGGTAAGTACCTACTAAGATTTTATTGTTTTACACCTATCTCCAGATATTCGAACGAATTCTAAAGTAAGGGCTTCTTAATTTGCCGTAACTTGTTAAATTCAAAGTCAAAACAGGAATAACATGAGTTTAAATGTACCCTCACTTTACTCGTAAAAATCGTTTGAGTATCTGAACGTTACAATATACCTACTCAAGAAGTAGCGAACAATTTTTATTAAATATAACTTAAGAAACTCGAGTGGCCACTTGATCTTGCCAATCTAAAGCACCACTTGCTGAAAAATAATCCTTAAATTTATTTCTTATGGTTATACCTGCGTCGATATTAGAACTATTTTCATCATTATTGTCTGTTATCGCTGTTAATAAATTCATATTGCTGTGAAGAACATTCTCTTGTCCTGGTGATGGCGTCCGATTTTCTATTAAAAAATTATGTAAACATGTAGTTGCTAATATAATTAAGTCACAGTACTTCGGTTGGATTTTCATTCGTTTTTGATAAATCTCAAATCTTTGAGTTAGCATTCCAAATGCACATTCTACGACTTTTCTTGCTCTGCTTAAACGCAGATTAAATACTTTTTTTGATAAGTCTGTTCTTGTTTGTTCTCTCGGATACGGCCGCAATATGTTATTGCTCAAAGGGAATGCTTCATCTCCTATGAAAACATGTGGTAAGCTTTCAGTGGTATTCGGTAGAGGTTTATTTGGGGGCAGCTTTAACTTATTAGTGTTCAGTTTTTTTCCAAATTTTGAATTTTGTAAAATTCCACCGTCGCTATTTTTACCATACGATCCGACATCAACAATTAAAAAGTTGTATTTCGCGTCTACCACAGCTAGTAACACTGTACTGAAAAAATTTTTATAATTATAGTATAAGCTTCCACTATTATCTGGTGCCTGTATACTGACGTGCTTTCCGTCTATAGCGCCCAAACAGTTAGGAAAATTCCAAATATTAAAGAAATCACGAGAGACCTTGTCCCACAT